CTAGATTTGTTTTTTCCTCCCACCCACGTCCTGGCGAGGGGTGGGGGAGACTCACCTTCTACCCGCAAGGGGCCTATCAAGGTATTTTCCTAAACAAAGACACTTCCTTCCCTAAAAGGAACTCTGGTGCCAGCTGATAAAATAATAGTTTCTCTTATTTGCTAAAACAATGACAGGGCTGTCAAATCTTGTTTATTCTAAGGATATCTGACATTAGTTGGGTTTCTGCTAATGAGAGAATACCCAGTTTGCCCTGGCAATTTAGATTTACTTCCATTATGTCATCTGATGTGCTGCTTACAAACTTGGGACTGGTAGTTCTCATTTTGCCTATTTTGTGATGGGCAAAAATGGGGTTAAGAAATGGTCAGTGACTGACCAATAACAGAGCCTCTGAACTAGAACATGAACCTAGATATCAGCTCATTCAATTACTTTTCCCTTAAAAGTTTTCACAAAAATGGAAAATCTACCTATTTTTTAGTCTACTGAGCTGTTTTGAGAATGAACTTGGTGCCCCTCCTCCCCATGCAGAAGGTCAAAAGAGACATGGGTTATTTGGCAGATAGTGCTGGAGGAAAAGATAAGTTGTCAGCAGATGCTTTTCTGTGTTGAGAATGAAATGTTATCCCTGCAAGATAACCATCTTGAGGCTGTTAGGAGCAGCAAAGGCCAGGGAGGAATCCAGCAGGACTACTCAGGACCAACCTCCAAGGCCTTCTCTCTGCTGCAGATGCTTCTCCTCCTCTCCCCTCATCCAAACCACCCTGCTTTGACTCTGGGAAGCTGTCCCTGATAGCCACGTGCAGATTGGCGCATTCTCTCTGTCTCTTTCTCTCTCTGATTCTTGGGGGGAAAGGATGCTCTGAACCAACTGCACAAACACAGGTTTTATGGACTCCACCCCCACTCCAAGACACCATGAACTACAAATCCCATAACGTCATCACCACCAAAGGGAGAATTGCTGGGAACTGAGGGTGTAGTTAAGCAGCTAGGCCTGGTGTATAACCAGACATGTGGGCCTTGAGGGTCTCTTGACTTTTCACCGGCTCTCAGTGTGCTATTGGGATTCCAGCTCAGTAGAACTGGTAGGATGCATTCACCAATTTATTTCCTTCTCTTCCACCTGAGTTATTAATTTCTTTATGTCTTCCCCTTCTTTTATAAATAAACCCTTTATTAACCTTTTTGTGTGTGCCTGCTGTTGAGTCTTATTATAAATCCCCTTTATGCACGCGTGAGGACCCACAGTCAGACAACCCATTTCATATTGGGGTTGCCCTGTAACAGTTTCCCACTGGCAATTACTCTCTGCTTTGCACCATTAGTATGTTCTAGATAGTGGCTTCCAAACTTGGTTAATTTTGACTCGCAATAAAAACATATTCTTTATCTTGCATTGCAAACCACACACCACCCACAAAGCTCTATGCCATCTCTGTCCCTGACTCACGAGTACTCAGAGAAACACACACGTATACCACAGAACATCACACACAAACGTTCACCCTAATTTTGCATGATGCTCACTAGTATTTCTTTATTCTTTTCTACTAAAAAACACTGGTTGTGACCCACTAAATTGATTTCATGACCCACTAAGAATAATTACTTCTTTAATCTCTCGGCAGCACAGCGTGATATTCTATTACACATTGCAGCCACCGCCCCCCTCACTGCTCTCGACTGTTGAGTTCAATTCCCTTCATATCCTTCCACCCAGGTTTTCTCAGAAGCTCCTCACCAGCCACCTTGCCCTTACTCTTTCTTTTCTATCCTTCCCAATGATTTTTCTTAAATGCAAATTTTGTCTAGAAATTCTGATGCTTAAAAACCTCCTGAGGGTTATAAGCACATTGCAAATAGTGAGCCTGACTAGAAGGCCCTTTGCATCCTGTGCACACACACTAGCCTTCCTGTCCTCGACTCCACCAGGTTGAAGCCCTTTGTGGTTCCTCCACCCCAGAAACACCAGCTGTTTCCCTTCCCTGTGACTTTGCACTTGCTGCTCCCTGACTGGAAAGTTCCTCTTTTCTTTGGTGAAAAACTGCTTTCACTTGAAGAGCTGAGATTACTAGAAAGAAGGAAATCCACCCATTTCAACCACGTGATGGACATGGAGGGCATTGTGCTCAGTAAGATAAACCAAAGAAAGATAAATATTGCTTGAAATCTTGTCTCTGTGGGTTGGTTGGGGTGGATTACAGGCACCCCTCAAAAGGAAAAAAGAAAACAAAAGACCCAAAATGGAGTCTTTTATGTCAAGCCCCACCAAGTCTTAATACCTATTATAACTGCAGTTTCAGTCTCTCCCAAAGGTAGAATTTTAAGCCAATCAATCCGAGTTTCCTGGTCAGCTCTTGTGAAGTAATCTGCATAAGATCCCTCTGCCTTCCCCTGAGGGAATGTGGCTTTGCCTGAAATAATCTTGCTTTTCTTGTCTCTCCCTCTTTTCTAAGAGCTTTCCGCTTTGTAGGACACTTTGCAGGGCCTCTCTACTTGCTGGCTGGTGCTGCCAGGTTCGCGAATTGTTTGCTGAAACCAAATGGTCTCTAAATTTTATTCGGACAAATTTTGTTGTTTTTTTTTTAACAGGGGACAAACATACCGAGTGGATGAATATGTTCTGGGGATCTAAGGCACAGCACAGCGATTATAGTCAACCATACTTCATTCTTTCAAAATTGCTGACACTAGAGCCAAAATCTTCCCACCACAAAATGGAAATGATAATTATGTGACCCGAGAGAGGTGTTAGCTAACAATGAGCACCTTGCAACTCATGGTGCAATAAATAAATGTATTAAATCAACACCTTGCACACCTTAAACTTACAATGTTATGTCAATTATAGTTCAATAAATAGAAGGAGAACTCAAATTACCCATTAGCATGAGTTCTCCCTCTGTCTTGGTTTTTGATTGCTTCTCTATATGGCTCTGATATACATCCTCAATAAATCCAATACCAGCAACTTGTAGGTGTATCTTAATTGGTTTATTATCATTGGTACCTAATGTAATGTCATTGTCCAGCAGACATTAATTAAAAATCAGTGAAAGAGCCCTGTACTCCAGTTCTGTATCATTAATTGAATTTCTCCCATTCTATATGATCTTATTCTGTCAGGCTATTGCAATGATCTAGTTGTGTGTGTGTATGTGTGTATGTGTATGTGTGTGTGTGCACATGCCTTGAAAACACAGTGAGAGGGTGTGAATTTGGGAAATAAAAATGATTGTAGATCTTGTATTCCTGATGTGCCTTCTCCCCACCCCAACCAAAGCTATTCATTGCTATGGGGTATCATTACTAAATTTAAAAACTAAGCCCCCCATTCCTTGCCCAGCCTGCAAGTTTGGGAGACTTGAATGGATAAAGGGAGTAGGTGGGACTGCCATGGGAACCTGGACATTAAGCTGATGATCATTTTTTTAATATATTAATTTTTTTTACATCATTGTTCATTTTTAAATAATATTTGCTTCCCCCCAACCCCCTCAGGTGTAGTCCCCAGAGAGTTTCCTTCACCAAGGCACCCGTGCACCATCACCACAGTCCCCTGTGCTCCTCCCTCCTCCCTCCTCTCCCTCCTCCCCTGCAGGTTGTCTCTGATTTATAATTGTCCATTTTTGTTTTGTTGTGTTTTGTACTGTTATTTTTTTTTTACACTGATGTCTTATTTGGTTCCCCTATATTCCTGCTATAAGTGAAACCATCGATATTTTTCTTTTTCCTTCTGGCTTATTTCACTGAGCATCATTCCTTCTAGTTCCATCCACATTGCTGTGAATGGCATGAGTTTATCTTTTTTGATTGCTGAATAATATTCCATCATGTATATATAACACATCTTCTTGATCCAGTCATCTATTTTGGGGCATTTGGGTTGTTTCCTGGTTTTACCGATTGTAAATAGTGCTGCAATAAACATAGGGGTAACAGGTGGTCTTTTGAATCAATGTTTTTGTGTCCTTTAGATAGATCCCTAGGAGTGGAATTGCTGGGTAATATGGTAGCTCCACAGAACAAAGACTAGTCACCCTAACCAATGATGCCTGGAATACAAATATATAGCCTTGGGACCTCTGGGCACAACAGAACTCCTATGTCTCCTATTGCTTTTCTGTATTTCAATAAATCCCCCTTTTCTGTTCTCTTATGAATTCTTTCACTCCTGTACCTCCCACCTACACTGATTCTCCCCCATATAATTGCCCAAGCAGAAATCTGGATTCTGATAGCAGGAACATATAAACAAATATTCAGCACTCAGATTGAAGTTTCCAAACAGATTTCAAAAATTTATGACTGAGATGAGAAGTAGCCTTGAAAGTCTAGACTTCTGAGTTGCCAGAGGAAGCAGGTTGTTATGTTCATGCCACAACAATTAGGTTGGGAAGAGGATAGGGAGAATCAGTGTAGCCTCCTCCCTATGTGCAGGATTAAAGATTGGGACCAAGTGGGGTGAGTGGGGGAGGTCAGAGGGTGGGGCCAGACCTAGTGGGATCAAGGGTCAGGTCCACATCGACAGGACCCAGAAAGTTTGAGCGGCAGCCGGTGAGCCAGTGTCTGTTGCCAGCTTTGCTTGTTCAGGGGCTCATGTGAGCCTTGCATTTCCCTAGTGGGAGCTGGGGGGTCTTGTCAGGCCCCTGACTATTTTGTCCAGCAGAAGTGATACCTGGACAGACCAGAATCTGCTGCTTACCCTACCCCACTACCCACTGGAGTAATCTCTTTTGGCCCAGAGGGGTAGAGGTGTCATGGGAGGAAAGATTCCCATTCCCAAACCTGGCCAATGGAGCAAAGCAAGTCTGAGGTTTCATGCCAACGAAACAGTTGGTGGCAAACCCCAAGTTTGCAGTGTATTTAAAAATATCTTTAAAATAGAAGAAAAAAAAAAACACCTTGCTCTCTTATTTAAAAAAAAAAAAAAAGGTTTATTGTGGGAAAATGAAGATATTTCAAAAGATAGAATGAATCTCTTATCCCATCACCCTGATAGTCACTGTTAATCAGTACTTTGAGCCATATTTTTCTGTCCAGTTTATGTATGAATTTTAATTATAAGTAAAATGGAGCCTCTTTGGGAGCAAGAATCACATCTTGTTCATTTCTTTAATCCCAGTACTTAGGATAATACTTGATGCAGAAAAGGCACTTGATAAATATTTGATAGAATAGTTTTTGAACGAAAACTGTCTCAAATCTCCCAGCAGGAAAGGAGAGAAAGAGAAATAACTTATATGTATTTTCATTATCTTCACATATGATGTACTTTAAGGAGGGACAAATTGTAAATTTCAGTCATCCTGACAAACTGTTATGAGGTGAGTTAGGGGAAACCCTAGAGGGAGCCGGGGGTCTTGCCCATGACAGTGCCAAGCAGCCGCCAGGGACAGCCAGGTCTTTCAGTAATAAAAAACCCAATTCATTTTCTAAGCTCAACAAATCCCAGCTCTGGCTCCATTCCGGGGGGGTCTTAATAACATGTCCCTCTCCCTTTCCCAACCATCCCATCTCTCCTGCCTCCCCCCTGCTTAAGAAGTCCATTCGGAAGTCTTCCCTGACCTCTGTCTGTCCCCCCACCGTCCCCCTGTGGACCACTGGTCTATCAACCCTGGCCCCCTGCTTCACCACTGTCCCTTAACCCTTTCCCCTGCAGCAGCAGAGGGGGGTATTCATCCCAGCTACCCCTTCCTTGGCTCCTTGTCACCCAGTGTGGAGTCCAGTCTCCCTGGGCAAAGGTTCAGTGTCTGACCTCAAAGTCAGGCCTGGTCCCCTACTCCTCTCTCCCCTGCATTTCTTCTCTCCCCCTTAGGTTCCTGGCTCTTCCTTTTGGCCCTCCTCAGCTCACCCAATGGCTGACACCCCAGACCCCTCCCTCCCTGTCATTGTCCCTGTGGAGAAGCCGCTGAAGGTCAGAGCAGGTCAGGGACTGGGCTGGGCTGGGCATCCAGATCTCATCTCTCAGCTCATCAGGGCAGGCGGCCTCAGGAGAAGGGAGGTGAACGCCCTCCTCTGTTGCCTGCTTGGACATCTTTCCTGGGGCAGAGGGGGACAGAGATATCCTGCTCCCACCCCTTTCCCCCTTTTGAATCTCACCTCTCCTGTACTTGGGATATTTCTGATCCAGCCTATTCTGGGGGCCTGTGTTGCCATAAATCCTGGTGCCTATGGCCAGGTCATCAACTCTGAGGTGGGGTAGGAGGTGGCAAAAGGGACCCAGTTTAAGAAAAATGGGTTTGTTTGAAGGCCATAATCTGCCCCCTGCTGGCTGGATTCAAGCTTCTAGCAAACTCTCCCAGGTCTTTGAATCTTGCCTTAATCTCTGTGATCTTGAAATCCTAGACCTCTGTCCACAGTGTCCTGACCTATTTCCTCCCCCAGGGATCCACCCTTTTTCATTATCCTCATATTTTCCCTTCACTCAGTTGACTCTGCTCACATTATCACCCACACTCCAGGGGCATCTGTGTAGGAAAGGACTTTGGCAAGAACAATGTTTGACCCAATGGAACTCTGGGCTCAGAGAATTCCAGGCAGTGTGACAGGCCAGGACGAGGGAGGGCTCCAGTAGGAGATCCTGGAACTCCCCTGCCCAACCTGTAGAAGCTTACCTTTTTGCTCTAAGCAAGGCTCACCCATTCGTTATATCACAGAATGAAAACTCCAAGGAAAGACAGGTTGTAGACTGTTTCCCAAACAGAAACAGACATGCAAAGACAACAAGGAGCATCTGCCAACATCCCAGACAGGGGCCTCTTCCTCTCTCCACCCCACGCCTTGTGGTGCCTGGGCAGGCTGATCCCGGGAGGAGAGGGGCCAGGCAATGTTTCCTGTGGTGGAGGCTGAGTCTGCTCCTGCTCCAGCAGCCCCTCCCAGCAGGAAGGCTGAGCAGTGGAGGCCTTGGGGTGGGGGTGTTTTCAAGATGAAGTCATTTCCCACAGTGAAGAGCAGCCACGATCTGCACAGTCCATTGACAGTCTGGGAGGTTTGCCCAGAGCCAGGAGAGAGTCTAAAAATGCCCAAGCCCATCTTGGGCTCTCAGGAGGCTAACAGGAGTCAGCAAATGCCCAAAATGAAGCTGGCAGAGGGTGAAGTTCATTCCAGCCTCCGGGGTTTTGCATTCCATTGGGCGATGAGATGACCATAGATTGGCTATTGGCTGGGTCCCCTCAAGGGCAGGCCTGGCTCTTTCCTACCTCTGTGTTTCCAGCACCTGATACTGAGTAGATCAGCTATTGAGTGAGTGGTAGAAAACCAAGTGGGTGCTGGGGGACAGGAAAGGAGTTGAAAATCCAACTAAGTGTTGGAGGACAGGACAAGAGTTTGAGGCATGCCAAGAGGGCCTTCACTTACAAGAACAGGAACTGAAGTTTAGCCCAAGATGGGCTCACCTGGAGAAAAGAAGGGAGCACAAGGTGGGGAGGATGGCCATGGGGACGGGCTCGGCATCCCACCACTACGTATCTGTCCACTGCACAGCCTTACTACTCTGCTCCCTGACAACCCTGACTTGGTGGAGAGTGAGGGGGCCCCAGCGACCTGTCTCCTGCTGGGCCCCAGCCCTCCTCCCAGAACTGACTTCCTGCGTCAAGTCCGGCTCAGGACCAGGAGCATGCACCTCCCCTTGCTCCTGCCTCTAAAGATTCATGTCCTCCTGTGTGTGCCCCGCCACGGCAGCAGAGGGACCTGGTGCATGCAGCTCCCTGAACTGGACCTGCCAGTTCTTGGAAATGGGAAGAATATTAGAATATACCACCTAGAGCTGCTGTGAAGACTAAAAAATCAAGTATATGAAGTAATGCTTTGTGAACTGTGAAATATCATTCTAATATAAAATGGTGTCCCCCGGGCCCCAACACAGATGGGTACATGCAGATGCCTACTGAATGACTGCAGAACATTGGTTCTCAACCAGGGTTGATTTTGATACCCCAGGGGACATAGAGCAATATCTGGAGATGGTTTTGGTTGCCATAACTGGGTGGGAGTTGCTATGGCCTCTGATTAGTGCAGGCCGGGGATGCTGCTGAACATCTTCTAATGCTCAGGAGAGCCCTCACTGCAAAGAATTATCTGACCCCAAGTGTTGACAGAGCTGAGGCTCAGAATCCTCGCTATACATGAATGAAAGTATGAAATGTTATCTGTAGATACAGGTGTGGTTTGTTGTTACAGAAAGACAACAGCTGTGGCTGGGGAAATGATCATCAAGATTCCACGGTGCCCCAGAGCAGGACTTACCCCGGGTTAAATGAGATGGCTATGCCCACGTTTGATAAGTTGAAAACATTTTATTTCAATTCTATTCTTGGGAGGCAGCATAAATAATCACAGAAGACCACAAAGGTCTGTGGGGAAGAAAAAAAAAAAGGCTCAAGAAATATGGGGAGATGAGAGTTGACACTCTTCAGCTGGCCAAGAGGGTGGAAAGTTCTTGGAGGAAAAGCTCCAGGAGTGGGGGTCCTTCCCCTGCCCAGGGCTTTGGGAGCCCCAGGCTCTGTGGATTGAGGTTCTGTAGAGTGGCCACAGGAAAGCGGGTGTGATATATGTATCTAGCAGATCCTACCTAATGAGAGGAGAAGGGACACTCATTTCCTGACCCCCAGGCCAGACCTCACCCCCAAGCTGTGACTTTTCTAGGAAGAACAGTGTTTATGGACCCCGTGTGGTCATAGGAAATGAAGGGGGAAAAGGAGGGAGAAAAGAAAAGCTGTAGAAGACAACATGAGATGTGGCACCCCAGAGTCCCATGACCTGGGGCCACTCTGCAGTTCCTCACCTGCAAGATGGAGAGAATAATCCCGGCCTCCTGGGGTGGGTGTGAGGCCCAGGTGAGCTCCTACGGTTAAATGATCGTGTAAACTTTAAAGTGCGATACTAGAGTGAGGGGTGTGGCCATTCTACAAGCGGAAGGCTGAGTGTGGAGACAGCAGTGGGAGAGATGCACATCTCCGGAAGCAGGCAGCCCCTGCTCTGCCTTTCTCAGGGCCAAGCTCCACCCTCCTCAGCCTCCAGAGGAAGAGGCCTCATCTCAGCTGGAGTCAGTCCCCTGCCAGGCAAGAGCAGAGGGTGGGGACTGGGAGGATGCAGGGCTCCGAGTGTGAGGGGCCTCCACTGGGCAGCATGGCATTGGCACTACCGGTGTGGGGCAGACAGCAGAAGTGACCTCAACTTTTCTTCTCCACAGCCCTGGATGGGATTGGCATCTTGACACAGTGAGCGGGCCCTGGCCTCGGGGTCTGGCCACCCCAGGCCCTGGGCCCGGGGCCAGAGTTGACCTGCTGGCCGACTTAGCAAGTCACTCCCCTGCATCCCACAGTTCCATCATTTATAAGATGGGAACACTAGTCCCTACCCTGTCTGCCTCACAAAGCAAATGGGAAAGGGTATACAAGAGCTTTAAAGAGAATCATGGGAAGGCAAGGGGTCATTATGGCCTTAGTGAGCAATTCTCTGAATTCCCTGAAGACAAGAAGGGCTAGGCAAGAGACAGAAAGGAGCTAGGCTGCTTGCAACCCTGGTCAGGTAAGTCAGGCTTCCAGGGCTCCCGGGGCAAGTCAGGGTGGTGGGCAGAGGGGAGGGAGACCAACTGAAGCCTGGGGTCAGCCCATACAGTGTGGTCCCTCAGGGACTCTGTGAGTCCCAGTTAGGAGTGCTACGATGTCCTGACAGTCCTCTCTGTCCGGGGAAAGTTCAAGTTCTAAGTCTACTGGTATCTTGGCTTTCCCCTCTGCTCCCTGGTCCATTGAGGGCACCCCTCAGGGAGTCCGTGGTCTTTGCCCAGCAGAAAGGAAGGCTCCTGGGGTGGCAAGAAAAGGTGCTGCCAGCGGCGGGCCTCCAGGAGAGGCTGGGGCTTTTCTAGCATGAGGTCAAAGATCAGCTTCCAGTTCTTGAGGAGACAGGTGGGGTCCTCAGGTGCTCCCCAGCTCCAGTCCTGGCTCTGTCTCTGGGGTCACTGGATAAAGGGAAGTTAAGGAACAAGTAGAAACAACGGAGAGATGGCCTTAGAAAGCAGCCCAGCCTGGGAGTTAACAGTTTTTGGGGCTGTTGCGCAAGTTTTTCAGTTCCAGCTGGAGCTGCCGAATGCGGATGTCCTTCTGGGCCAGCTCCTCTTTCAACCGCCGAATCTCATCCTGCTGCCGGAAGAACATTCGGAGGAGCTGGAGTGGATGAAGAGAGAGTCGTGATCAGCCCGGAGAGAGCAGGGGAGAAAGTGACTTCACGAAGGGGTGCCAGGTTCCCAGACCCTGCCCTCCCCAGGGCAGTCCCCCCCATTTCCTCCAGGCCTTCCACTGCTGGAACTAGCCCAGCCTCCCATCCACAGTTCTCCCTTCTACAGACTCCACTCCTGGATGGGGCAGTGATATGGGGTCACCGAGGAGGAAGGGAGTCCACACAGGCCGCTTTTCAAATACCCCAGCTATAGGTGTCCAGACCTAATACTTTCATTTACCATTCCAGATGGACACCTTTCTAAAGTGGGTTGCTTTCTTCTCTTCTTAAGGAAGCTCAAGTTATATATAAAATGGAATCCAACTTTTTACCTGCTGACATGGGCCCTTAGTTTGCACTGGGCAGTGTGGTTCATCCACCTGGGTGGATGTGGTCAAAACACAGATCTTGACAAACCTTCACTTAGACAGCTCTCCGCATTAACCAGTCTCTCCATTTCTTCCATAGAACAGACTCATAGGTAACCTCCAAACACTGAACCCCAGAAAGTCGCCAGACCCTCAAGGACCTTCACACACTGACTGAAATGTTACCAACCAGCAGCTGTGTTCACCCTCCAACCTCCTGGTGTGAGTTGCATTTGTTCTTATAATTGCATAATTGAATTAAATATGACATAAAGGGATGAAAATGAACACTAAGAGAATTGCTGCTTCTGTTAAAACTAAGCTGACTGCTTCAGAACATCTTGATAAAAGTGAAGTTAAAACAATTGCTGCTGAATTAGCTGTGGAAGATATGGCCAGAGAGGATTGGGGAATATTCTATATCTTGATTGTGTGAGAGTAGTTACATGACTATCAAGACTTTTGCATGTTTGTCAAAACGCATGGCACCTCCACTACAAAGGACGAATTTTATCACAGGTAAGTTATACCTCAGTAACTAAATATTAATAATATTAATAATAAATAATAATAACAAGTGGGAGAACTTTTAAAATAGTAGGACTTTGAAAATTGTGGCTAAGTTCTTATTCCACCTAAAGAAATGGAAACTGGAAAGTGGAGTTAATAAGAGTTGAAATGTGATTTATGTGAGAGAGACAGCAGATTCCAATTGGTGATCTCCTCAAAGGAAAGGCCTTATCCTGTACCAGTATATGTTGAATGAATATATATGTTTTATGTTTTAAATGAAAAGATATGGCTTATGGAATGAACATATCATTTTTATGATTCCCTCTTTTAACTTTATTTTATTATTTTTTAAAAAAGATTTATTTACGTAAGCATACAAGAACTGGGGTGTAGAACAGAGGTGTAGCGGGTGAGAGGACTCACCAGAGACAGAGTGGGGAACAGAACAGGCAGATTGACTGAAATACACTGCTGAGGGGAGCAGTGGGTGAGCCAGGAGAGGTCTGCAGTGCCATGGGGGTCACCTCCCTGGCCGGGGATCAAACTCTTCTGCAGTGGCTGCCAACAGCCCCATAGTACTATATCTCAACCCCTTGTGCCACCAGGGAGGCCCCTTAACTTTATTTTTTTAATTAATGAACAAATCAGTCCTGGTTTCATTTGCTTAGAGGGACAATAAACTATTTGCCCCAATACTAAACAATTCTTCATATACCCGTGCCTCGCACATTCTCAAAATTTCTTTTTGTAAGTTTTGGTCAGTTTTGAAAACAGCTTTATTGTCACATACTATACATTTCACTCACTTGAAGTGTACAGTTAGCAGTTTTCAGTGAAGTTACAGAGCTATGCAACTCTCCCCTTTCCCCAGGTCAAACCACCAGTTGCGGCTCCACATTTAGACGACTTACAGTCTCATTTTCTAATTGGTTGCCTCCAATCTGCTGTGATGATCAAAACTGTGGGTAAACCTGAGTCAGCAGGCTCTCAGAGAATTTCTTCCCAACAAGGGAAGTGCACAGGCTTTTGTGTGGAGAGACTGTGGCATTTGTGTCGTCTGTTGTCTTCTCAGAGAGCCTTTAAAATTTTCCTCCAGGTTCTCATGGCTAAAGGTTACTAGATTTAATTCCTATAGCACCGACATTCTATACACCTGGTACTAGAACTGACTACAGGACCTTGTTGTGGCCCACGTGGGTGATCACAGCAACTTAGGCACCTCAACCTTTTCCAGGGCACTTATAATTTTTTTTTAAATGCCAAATACATACAAATGTAGAAAAGAGGGGCCTCCCTGGTGGCACAAGGGTTAAAGTCTCAGTGCTATCAAGTTATCACCAGCCATTGCAACACGAGTTCAGTCCCCAGCCAGGGAGACAACCCACATGGTGCAGCAGAGCTCTCCTGTCTTGCCCACTGCTCCCCTCAGCAGTGTATTTCAGTAGCTCTGCCTGTTCTGCTCCCCACTGTCTCTGGTGAATCCTCTCACCCCTGCACCTTTGGCCTACACCCCAGTTCTTGCATGCATGCATAAATAAAAATAAATCTTTAAAAAAAAAGTAGAACAAGCCACACCATTCCATGTGCCTATCACCCGACATCATGAAATAGCATGTGACTCTTCTTGACTCATCTCTACTCCTCCCCACATCCCTGCACTCCCCTCCTTAGGGATTATTTTGAAAGGGATTATTTTTTTTTTTTATTTTGAAAGGGATTATTTTGAAGCAAATCCGATTTATTACATGATTTCACCCAGCCCCAGAAATCTGAACATCCCTCTATAAAGGCACATAAACATATTACATAGCAATTATTCTTTTGCCTGTTCATTTTCCCTTTAACTGATGAGGTTCCAGAAGTCAAGAATAGTTTTATCTTTATGCGTAATAGTGACAACTGTAAGTTGGTGTAATAAGAAGACTTTAAGATGGCCTCCATGTTATCCCCTCACCTCAAGGGTGGACTGGACTGAATCAGCTGCTGGCCTCAAATGAACAGAATATGACAGAAGTGATAAGATGTCATCCCAAAAGTTTGGTAACACAGTGACTGGCTTCCATCTTGGATGCCCTCTCTTGCTCACTCACTCCAAGGAAGCCACGTGTGAGCTGCCTGTAAAGAGGTCCCTATGGCAGGACCTGAGGGAGGCCTGCAGCTGACTGAGGCCTTCAGTCAACAACCTGTGATTGCTGGCAACCATGTGAATGAACCTGGAAGTAGACTCTTCTGCAGTTGAGCCTTTGGGTGCAGTCCCAGCTGATGGTTTAACTATACACCCTCATGAGAGACTTTGAACTACAGACACCCACAGAAACTCTGAGACAATAACTATAGGGGTAATTTGTCAGATAGCCGTAGACAGCTAGTACAGTTAGCCCCTCTGAGCACTTGAAATGACCCAGGGAACATACTGGACCCTTAGGGATTAGCACCTTAATGTTCACACCATTTCATGTCCCCATTGTACCAAGAGGGAATGGGTTTAGGAAGATCAGAAAACTTGCTCAGTCACAGCCACGAAATGGCAGAGCTGGGACAAAAATGCAGCAGGTCCACATAACCAGCTCTACCTCAGCTGTGTCAAGCAAAGAGTCTTTGCATTCTTGGAACCCAGGCTGTGCTGGCTGGTACTGGCTCTGGGACAAGGGTTGGAGGAAAAGCCTTCGGGGGTATGGTCAAGGTCCAGGTATGGATACCCCTGTATGGGCTGCTTCCTTTCTTTTTCTTTCTTTCTTTCTTTTTTTTTTTTGAAAGATTTATTTTATTTATTTATGCACACAAGAATTGGGGTATAGGCCAGAGGTGCAAGGGGTGAGAGGATTCACTAGAGACAGAAGGGGGAGCAGAACAGGTGGATCTACTGAAATAAACTGCTGAGGGGAGCAGCGGGCGAGACAGAAGAGGTCTACTGCACCATGTGGGTCACCTCACTGGCTAGGGATCAAACTCCTGCTGCAGTGGCTGCTGATAGCTTCATAGTGCTGAGACTTAACCCCTTGCACCACCAGGGAGGCCCAGCTGCTCCTTTTCTATATGGCACGAAGAGTACTTTCACAGACACCCAGCCTCTTCCACAAAAACAGGAAATTGTCAGACCTTGTCACTGCCGCCACATTGGGGAGGAAGGCAGTGAGGTGACACACGAAGGCCCTCAGTCAGGAGGGATTCTGTAACTCCTGCAATGCCAAATGGAGGCGTTCTGGAATGGAAGCGTGAGGAGACACTCACTGTGTGGGTTAGTGACTGTGAGTGTGGGGGAGGGGCGTCAATGTCCCCTCCATATCCCAGCCTCTATTTATTGGGGTCAGAGGCAATGGAAGCCAATGGCAGGCTACGCATGGTATTTGTCACAGAAAGAAAAATGTCTCAGAATGGAGCTGACTTAAAGGCCGAAAGCCCATAATTGAAATGTAAAGGTCTCGATCTTCCTGGGCCTGTGGAGGTAATAAGTTACATTTCTTACCTCGTTCTCTGTCCTGGGTGGCACATTTTCTAATAAATCTATTCCATTGACCACAACGCTCTTCTTTTCCCTGATGGGAGCCTTAAATACCATTTTGGAGGACTTCTTGTAGCCTTCTTTCAAAGACATGAGCACGGGATCTATGGAAGGCAAGGAAAGTTCATGCAAATGATTCACTTGACAACAGTGTCTTTCACTCACACCTGCTTGACACTGGCTGGGGGTCAGGGCAGGTTCTAACAGGGGATGTGGGGCAATGGGCTGTGATCTCTTCTGTGAAGCCCCCCCACCCCTGGTACCTCGGTTGATGCCTCCCAGCCATTCATCGGGGGTCAGCGCTGGCTCCGTGCCGGGCGTCATGGGGTAAATGTCTTCCTGGTAGGAATCCGACTGCAGAAGAGTAGACACTTGGGGGCTGCCGAGAAACCCTCTGCTCGACGGTAGAGTTTTCTCCTCGCCAACCTCCAGCCCCATCCCCTGCTTTCCTGCCTCCATACTGCATTCATAGTGTCTCCCACTTGGAATTCCCACCCAGCGTTTGCTAGCAAGTCAAACTGCCCCCACCTTAGAATGTCCCCGCCCTCACCCCAAACTGGGTCAGGAGACCACAGTTTTGCAGGACCTTTTCTGGGCTCCTCAGGCTTACAGGCAGTAATGAGCAAGTTAGGATTCAATGCTGGGCAACGTGGGAATCCAGCCCAGCCCCACTCACCCGCCGGGGCACAATCATGGAGATGGGCTCGATCAGGCCCTTGAGAGTCACCAGCTTGTAGAAGCGGAATACCTCGCAGGCCGACACATCCAGTCCATGCTTGGGCATGACCCCTGTGGACGGCATAGATGGTTCCATAGGGTCCCAGGGACTCCCAGCCTTGGCGCCCCTCCTCCCTGGTGTTCTCGGCCAGGAATATCCCTGGACACTTAGGCTTGGCGGCAATGACCCGTGTGAGGGCAGTGGGCGAGCTTCTGGATTCCATCTCTATCTCTGAGTGGCAACTTCCCAGATAAACCCCTTGAACCAGACCTGTCTCACCAAGGGATCCACTTTAGGATTAGGGCCTGTTAGAACTAGAAAGACCTGTAGAAAAACTTGAATCTGATTGATGAGACTCCTCAGGGTCAGCGGGGAAGTGGCTTGCTCAAGGTCACAGAATATGGCTAGGGCAAGGCTATAGAGCCTGTCATCTTCTGAAAGGAACTGGCCATCCTAAGCCTCTGTGCTCCCATCCTTATAGAGAGAGGAGGGAGACATCTTTCCCCAGGCACCCCATGTTTAAACACAGCCTGGGATTGCTGTTGTCATGTGTCTCGACAGTACCAGCCCCTCATGCAATGGTTTGATGGGGGCTTCAGTGAGAAGATGATTAACTGTCCAGCATGGCAATGAGCAAATATCACATGAGCTTCTTACTTTGTGATGTGAATATGAATTCAGATTCTACCTTTCCGCTCCTCTAACTTGGAGGTTGCTCTTCTAGATACAAGAATTCCAGGAGCAGGAGGGAAGTAGAACAGTGGTACCCAAGTGGGATTTGGAGCCAGCAGACCTGGTTTTGAATTCTGGTTCTGCCATTTAGAATCTATGTTGCCTGTGGGGGTGATTGCCTGACTTCTGGTGAATGCCCCAGAGTGGCCTCAGGTAAGAAGGATGAGGAGAAAAGGTCTTTGGTTCCTCCCTCTCCTGCAGTCACGCTGATTCTACTTTCTACACATCTAAATTCATCCTCTTCTCCCTATCTTCATGCCATGTCTCTCTCTATCACTCCCTGCCTACAAGTCCACAGTGGCCTCCTAACTGGCCTCTCTGCTCCCCTCCCGCCCTTCCATCCATTCTTCCCATAGAAGTCAGAACAATATAAAAATAACATTTCAGCTCACATTATGTTGTCCCATCTCCCACCCACCCAAGAAATAGAAAACCTTCCAATGACGTTCCAATAAGCCCCAAACTCCTTTCCCTACCGATGGTCAGTTTCACGTGCCAGTGTTCTGTTAGCAGACTGTCTCCGCAGTGGGGCGTGATCCAATCATCTGAAGGTCTGAGAGGAACAATAGGAGGGAGGAACTTGCCCTTGTTTTTCCTGTTTCACTGATTGAGCTGGGACAGCTCATCTTCTATCCTGGGACTGGGATTTATACCACCAGCTCCCCTGCTTCTCAGATCTTCAAGACTTGAACTAAATGATAACCACTGACTTTCATGGACCTGGAGCTTATAGATGGCAGATTGTGGGGTCTCTCAGCCTCCATAATCACACGATCCAATTCTTTACAAATTCCATACTTATATAAAAATTTATATATTTGTTTCTGTTTCCCTGGAGAACCCTAAACAATACTTTGTGTCTCAGGGGACACCCATCTCTCCAACTTCATTTCCTAACACTCATTCCATCTCCCGCTATGTTACAGAGTCTAATCTGTGCTTAGTCACATCGACCTCCATTCTCTCCTGAGAACATGCCAGACTCATTCTTGCCACAGGATTTTGCACTGGCTATTCCTCCTGTTAGCACTGCATTTTTCCCTTCCCAAATTTCAAATCTCAGCTTAAAATGTCACCTTCCGTGACTACCTGATCTAAAATAGCCCCAGTCACTCTCTGTTCTATTACCCTACTTATTCTTCTGCCTACGACTTGCTACCATCTGATATTTTCCTTACTTTGTTTATTGTCTGTCTCCCCCCAGTGGAATGTAAGCCCCAGAAGAGTAAGACTGTGTTTTGTATTATTTTCTACTGAGTCCAGGGTTTGGCACATAGCTGGAACCCAATAAGTGTTTGTTGAATGACTATGTGAAGGAGCAGGAGGAGCCAAGTGCTATAGCACATATGATCTTTAAACTTTACAATGGCCTTACCAGGTAGGTTTGATTATCCCCATTTTGCAGATTAGAAAACTGAGACTCAGAGGGGTTTAAGTACATAGTTGAGCAAGAAGTAAACTAGGTTTGACTCTGAAGTACAGGCTACTTCTTACTTTTTTTTTTTTTTTTTTTACTATTTGATAAAGAGGTGACAGTGATGGAGGTGAAAATGACAGAGAATTGAGGAAGGGTAAAGTCTTTGGGATTGTCATTAGGAGCTCAGGTAGATCTCTGGATCTCCATTTTGCCTTTTGTCACTGAGGTGGCTTCTCAGAACCTCCCAGAACTGCTGCCCCAGCAGCTGGCCCTAGCTTCCTGTCCATAGTACCAGACCCCCAGTTGGAGCAAGTCAGACTCGAACTCCAAGGAGAGACAGAAAGAAAACCCCCAAGAAGATGTCTTCCACTGGGTGATTTGGATCCCAAATGGGGAACTACTGAATTGTTCCCACTGCCAGGTTTAGTTCACAGAAATGGGAATGTTGCAGTAAGACTTCAGTGGTGGGAGAATATGAGGGATGAAGACCATTTCACCTTACCCTCACTATAGCCTGTCCATCCTGGGCCTTCCCTAGGATTTGCCTGAGGACCAGGGAGCCTGAGGAGGCAGTGTTGGGTGCCCCACGGAACTTCCTCCTGTCTTCTCTGGCAAGGATAGCACAGCTCCTGGGCACTTCACAGGGGCAGCATCTGTAGGTTCTACTCTAATGTGCCCATGAGCTGTGGCCTTCTGAGTCTGGTTTTTCACTTAAAACAGTAGTGGGAATGTGGGAAGGATGTGACCCATAAGCCAAATGTCCAGTCTCTTGTAAGCATAACAGCTATGCAGCCACAGTACCTCTTACCTAGGCCTTTTTGGGGGGCTGGGGAGCGGAACTCCATGAGGTAACTCAGGTAGGGCTTCTCAGTGCTGATCTCATAGTACCGGATGTTTCCATCTCCCTGGGGGCAAGGAGAGAAGGAAATGAGGGTGGCTGAACAGGCCTTGGTCCCAGGGTCTTGCTGAGAAATGTGTCTGCTGTACCTCAGATGTGGTCAAATGACCAAGGAAACCTGGCCTCAAGACTTGGTGATAGTCATAGTGGTGGTGGCGATATGTGTGTGTCTATAAATTGCCTTTCTGACAAAACCATATTTGCCAAAGATCTCTACCTTCAGGCTTTGATCTTTATTTCAATATAAATCCTATTCTTAAGTCAATCTCAGTCATTGACACCTTAGTAAGAATGTCAGACTTGATGTAGGTTTTTTGTTTGTTTGTTTTGTGGGGTTTTTTTGTAGAAGAACTGGGGTATAGGCCAGAGGTGCGAGGGGTGAGAGGATTCACCAGAGACAAAGTGGGGAGCAGCACAGGTGGATTTACCAAAATACACTGCTGAGGGGAGCAGTGGTCGATAGAGGAGAGGTCTGCTGCACCATATGTGGATTTGCCTCCCTGGCCAGGGATCGAACTCAGGCTGTAGCAGTGATAGGGCTGAGAATTAACCCCTAGGTGACCAGGAAGGCCCTTGCCCTTGAGGTAGGTTTTGATGAGAGAACATGAAAACCAGATTGGGTCAAAGGAAGGAGAGATAGAGAGTTTAGGCTGGTTCTTCTTAGGGGATGGGGCAGGATCAGGGGCATAAAGAAGGCAGGGGTCTCCCCAGTCCCTCCCCCACCTTCTACTACCTTTCCAGCCAGGTAGAGCATGTGGGTATCAGCATCGTAGAAGGGGAATAGGAGACCGGACAGTCCATCAATTTCCTCCTCGATCATTGGCATGGATAGGTCCTCCTGAAGACCGGGAGCAGGCCAGTGTCAGCCTCTATCCAGGTAGGATGGATCTTTGGCTGCCCAAACCCCAGCTAAGTACTCCCCCTCCCCACTATGATCCTATTATGTCAACTCCCGGCCTCCCCCGGCTGACCTGGTCCCAAAGGGCGATCTGTCTCGTGTTCCACCTGGAGACCCCTGTCGTGAGAAGTCGCTTCATGTTCCCCAGGAACACCACCCGATTCACTCTGTGGTTTTTGCAGTTGGCCTCCTGCAGGGACAGAGCGAGCTGGTGAGCCAAGACCTCCAGTCACTGGGCTAAGTGGTGGCTCCCAAAGATAGTTCCATGTTTTAATCCTTGGAAACTGAAAATGTCTCTCCCGATTTGGAAGGGGTTTTTTGCAGATGTAAGTTTAAATCAAAGATGTTGAGATGAGGAGTTTCCCTTGGATTATCCAAGTGGGCCCTAAATGTCACCATGCATGCCCTTATAGGACATAAGCAAAGGGAGATTCTGCAGACAGGCAGAGGAGAAGGGAATTTGACTCATAGGGACTGAGTAAGTGATGGGGTCACAAGGCAAGGCAACAGGTAGTCACTGGAAGCAGGAAAAGGTGAGGAAGGGTTCTTCCAGAGCCTCCAGAGGAAGCATGGCCTGTCAATCCCTTGACTTCCAACTCCTGGTTTCGAGAATTGTGAGAGCATCAGTTTCTATTGTAAGCTACCTGTTTCCGATAATTTGTTACAGCAGCCACTGCACTAGGAAACTAATGCAGGTGCTGTGGAGGCCGGCACCAGGAACCCCGGCCCCTCACCCATGTCCAGAGTGGCAGCGTGGGTGAGCAGGGAAGGAAATCTAATGCTAACCAAGGAAATCTAATGCTAACCAAGCCTCATGGCCTGCACCCTGCAGGTGCTCAGAGCAGGGTGTCTCTTTAACCTTCATAACAGCACCTACTGGAAGGAATCTCTGAGGACAAGAACCCTGAGCTCAGGGGGCCAGGGGACTTATGCTAGTTCACCCCTGGAGGACTTGCTCCCCTGCAGCTCCTACCTGGGCTGTTCTGGGCCTCCTCTCCTGCCTCTCGGCTCTTTTCTTCCTCCTTTGCTAGGATAAGTCAGCATCATATAGAAAACAGAGGCTGCCACAGAGACCCGGGTTGATGTCACTAGCTCTGGATTTTAGCTCCAAGTTGTGCCAAACCTGAAGAGCCCCTCTGCCTGCCTGGTTGGTGTCCACAGCTGTGGGGTGGAGGTTGTGTGCTCCACTCTCTCACATTTTTGCTGCTCTGCACGGGTCCAGCTGCCTAGGTTTGAACTCTAACTCCTCATGTAACTGAGATTCAAGTCTCTAATCCTCTCCAAGGCTCAGTGTTCCCATGTGTGACATGGGAAGAGTGTGACAGGCCCACCTCAGAGGCTGTCATGAGCACTAACTGGGGAACCTCACGGAGGCCTTGGCAGCGAGCTCTGAGGAATTCAACCCTGCAGATGTGAATCACTGCGATGATTAGTATCTGCAGGCACAGTGGTAGTAGATCACCACCTGGTCTTGCAATATTGGACTCTTCCAGGTGAAACACAACCAGGTCAGGCATAGTCCTTTCTTGTGGAGAGAGAAAAACCTCAAAGTTTATGCAAATTTTCCATTCCACCTGTGACTGGTACACAGTTGATGCTCAAGAAATATTGATTTCTTACTCCCAAGTGGCATCTCGTTCTTTCCTTATAATAAAAACCCAGGGGACTCAAAGCCCAAAGCTGGAGCTAAGTTCACATCAACCCCCACTCTTGAGACATCCCTTGGGCAGGCACCCTGAGTCATTTACTCCAGGCTCATCTCACATGAGTGGCTGGGCCGAGAATCCCAATGTCCCCTTCGCCTGTGCCCATGAGAGGGGTTGGCAACACCCAGCAATTTCAGGCACGGAAGCACGTCACCATTCAGCCCCGAGCATGTTATACAAATCCCATTTGGGGAGCGGGAGTAGTGAGGCAAGAAAGGGTACTGAGGTCCCCAGCTGGAACAAGCCAGGAGTCCTGTGGGCCAAGGAGGGTGCAGGTCAGGTGCCTGGCTCAAAGTTGAGCCCCAGGCACCAATACCTTCCCTTCCCCTTGAAAAAGTGTGGGCGTGACCTGGAGCACGCGGCCAGAGCGGGGCTCGATCACGCGCAGCTTCTTGTCCTTGCACGTGGTGGTGAGCAGGCTGCCGTCGGTGTTGAAAGACATGCAGAGGATCACATCTGAGTGGCAGTCGATCATCTTCACTGGCTCACCCACGTCCAGGTTCCAGATGAGGACCTGTGAAGCAGACACACGGAGGGAGGTGGGTCAGCCTGCGCGGTCATCACGAGAGTCTACCCTGTCCCCGGACATCTATATCAAAGGCTGACATGTCCCCGCCCACAAATCTGTGACTATCCCCAGGAGATCATAACCCAGCCTGGGCCCAGTTCCCTTTATGAGCACGGATAAGTGTTCCTTGCCAGTTTCTGAGGCTGGCACACTTTTTGAGGGCAGGCCTGGTGTGAGGGGCTGGGGTTCATTCTCTTCCCCCTGCAGTTTTGGTTGCCCTTTCTTCCTAAAAGGGTAGCAGCATTTTAAGGATAAAAAAAACAGGCAGAGAGTGTGGGCAGGGAGTGGGCAGTTTTCTAGTCCATCAGCGCCAGAGGAGACAATAAAGATGCCTCCAGTCTCTCTGGACCCTAGGAATGATGGGTTGCACAGGAGACACTCAGTCACGTGTCATGAGAGAATGAGTGAATGAATCCACCAACATGACAATATTGGGGTATGTGCATAGGGCAGTGACAGTGCTTCCTTGGAGTGCCCTGAGATGTCCTCGCTCCTTCCAATCCCCACTCCTCGCCCCAGTCAGCTCTGGCCACAGCTCCCCACCCAGCTGCCCACCTTGTAGTCGTAACCGGCGCTGAACAGGATGTTGTTGGTGGTGGGGTGCCATTCAACCAGCCCCACGCGCCGGCTGTGCCCATGCAGCTCCAGGAGCGCCTCTGTCATGTTCCGCTTCAGCCCCCCCTCGGGGATCTCCCAGATCCGCACCTGCAGAGGGCACAAGGGCCTGAGCATGGTCCCAGGCCAGGAGAAGCCCAGTGGCCCTCTCTCAGGGACACTAGGCTTACGTGATCTTCCCAGCGAGGACCCTCTGGATCAAGGCGGAGGCCGGGGGAGGTTCCAGGCTGTGTTTAGAGAGAAAAGAGACCACCTCCTCTTTGCCTTTGGGACCACAAGTCTGTGCAGCCCTGGGCGATTATGACTGCCATCTTAGCGCCAGTGTTACGGTCCAGCCAGTCCCACGGACCCCTCAGCACTTGCTCAGTGGGAAGTCTACCACAGCTTCCCTCTCCACGCCCACGGACAGATCGCCTGCAGCCCCAGCTCCGCTGTTTCCGCTGTTTGCACTGCATGGCCTTGGGCCCCGCCCTGGCTGTCACCCAAATAGGACACCTGAGCAGAGGGAAACCCATCTGGGAGGCCCAGAGTCCCTCCTGGGAAACGAGCTAAGGGCAAGCGGGTTAGATGTTGGCTTCTGAGCAGAAAGGACGGGCAGAGCTTGGATGCAGCTGCTATTTGAGTCTTGTGGATGCTGCTGAAGAAGCCGGGAGAGGCCACGGTCAGAGAGCAGACCGTGTGGCCCCAGAGAGAAGCTTTCTCTTTCCCTGCAGGCTTTGAGTAGAATAAAAGAAGGAACTGGCTGTGAAAGCCTATAAACTGTCAAGTGCTCTAAAGAACTAAGAAGTTAGAGTTCATGTCACAGTTGTTATTTTCATCCTCAGTGCTATTTATTCTGCCCTACCAGGGTGGGCAGGAAAGAGAACATGTGACAACTCAGGACACCTTTAAAACAAACCTTTTTGAAAATCTGGCCTCCACCCTTGCTAGGACGGAGAAAAACAGGAAAAACAGCTCTGAGATACCATTTGTACTCTTCCAAAATAGCCAAGTGGAAAAAAAAAGCCAGTTTCAGCAAGATTCTCCAGGAACTTGTAGATTCAATTGGTGTTGGCAGTATTATTAACCAGAGTAAGTCTTTTGGAAGCAATTTGTCAATCTTTAATAGGAACCATAAAGACATTATAAGACATTATATTCTTGATCTGGCAATTTCACTCTTAAAATCTAAAATAAGCAAAAATCTTCATGCATGAAGACATTTGTTGCAACATAGAAAAACAGAGAAACATCACAGAAGTGATCGACATTAGGGAACAATTTAATATGGCCGACCAGAATAGAATATAGTCACCCCGTTATAGTTCTGAAGGTCATGAATAAATTGGGAAGCATGTCATAAAAAGCTAAAGGGAGTTCCAAGGACAGGGGAGCAAGGCTGGGAGTGGGGTGCCCCTAAGGGAATTCCCTTGACAAGCTTCCCTTTCTGACCCTTTCCCCTCAAACTGAAAAAAAAAAAAAAAAAAAAAAAAAAAAGAATATTTCCCACACATTTGTTTCCTCAGAGACTGAGCTCTGCACATGTAGACACAGGAGGCTTTGGGGCAGGAAAGGCAGGTTTAATGAAGGATTTGGGGTTGCCCTTTGGTGCACCATTTTCGGTTTCAAAAATTGACTTGGGAAAGCTGCTAACCAGGGTTAGCTCCATGTTTTCCTCTCCTCATTCCAGTGGCCTTTGGCTACTCCTTCTGCATTGCGGTGGGAGCTGGGGAGGGAAGGGACACAGGGGACTGGCTCATGGGGCTGACCCATGGGCTTTGCTCGACAGACCCTGTTCAAGGACATTCAGAAATGAGGCCTGATCTAGAAAGCGGGAGGTGGAGTGAGGACCAGCATAAATGACCCGGTGATTGCCAATAAGACACTCATTCCTCTTCCCCCTAAATATACGAGAGGAGGTGACCCTTCGAGAGAGGAGACTAATGCTTGGATTAGACACATACCACACCCCCACCAAACACACACACACACACACACACACAGCACACTCATACCACAGTCCCAAACTCCCCATCTCTCTCCCACTCCTCACATCCCATATATCCCCACACCACAAAACTCCCCACCACCACACACACCCCTTTCCCCACACATCCCCAAACTTCCCACCACTCTCACACACACCATACCCCTTACTCCCCACCCACTATCTTCCCCTTGGAACCCCCCAACTTTCTTTTTTACCCAAAGAGATGCTCTTATACATACATATTCTTCTGCAACTTGCTTTTCTCCTGTCACAGATGATGGGTATCTTTCCGCACCACTACCTATGTGTCTCCCTTATTTCTTCAAGTGGCCAGAGGGGCATCCGGATATGACTGTGCCATGAGGAGTGGCATCAGCCTCTGCTGGGCACTGCCCACTGTTCACCAGGACAATTCATACATGACCGACAGCCCTGTAACTCGAGTATGTGCATGGTGTGAGCGTTCCTGGGAACAGAGGCCTAGAAGAGTTTTATTTTTTAAATAGTGACTGCAAAATTGTCCCTGAAAACTGTCCTAGTTTTCGCCAACAGAGTGTGACAGCACTTCTTTACCTGTGTTTCTAAAACGATATGTTTAAGAATGAGCTTTTGCCCCTCCAATAGGCAGAGAATGCCCCGTCCCTGTTGTTCAGATTTACGTTTCTTTATTCTTAGAAATTCTGGATGTCTTTTGTCCATGTTATGGGCCACCCCTGTTTGCATTTGAGGAGGAAGCTCTAGAAGCTTCCAGACTCAAAGAGATGAGACTTTAAGGGCAGATGGTGTGCCAGCGTGGAGGTGTTAGGTGCAGAATGCTTTCTGTGGACACTAGTACACAGGCACAGTCAGTGCCAAGAAAGCTCTAAACAGAAAGTTGAGCCACATTCATCCCCCGCATACCTCTGCTGAGCCAGGTCCTTGCACCCAAAGGGATGGTCACTGCGTGTGCCCCAGCTCCTGAGCAGCACATATTGGGGTGGTGAGGCAGGGAATCCTAGGGGGCATGGAGCTGGGGAGCTTTGAATCCATCCCAGGGATGGGGGACATGAAGAATGGATCTGGGAGGAGCAGAGTTAGAGAATAGGATGTTGATCCATGTTTGAAAAGGCAGGTTGGCGATGTGGAAAGGTTGAGACAGAAAATGACCAAAGCATGTGAGCTGGGGCACAGCAGGTGGGAAACTGCAGGCAGGTTAGTCTGGCTGGTGTGGAGCAGGCGGGCAGGCGGGCAGGTGGCAGAGGTGGCCAGAGGCTGTCTGTGTCATCTGGTCACTCCCTGAGACCCAAAGAAGTCCTGCTTGAGCCAAGTATAAGGAAAAAACCTCTCCTGTTACCGCCTAATTCCCCAGCAGCCAGCTAATGAGGTGTCCCTGGTGACACGACTGGCTGTGTTAACATAGAGACAGGAGGAAGCTGTGGAGTGAGACCCTACCCAGGCTCTGGTCCCACCTACGAGGTGGATGACCTTGCACAAGCCAGTTATCCTTGGCCCTTGGCCAAGACAGCCCTTGTGGAGGCATGTGGGTTAAACTCAACTGGGCTCAGAGGCTGTGGGAGTTGGAAACTGTAGCCTGTTGAGCTACTTTGCTGGGGTGACCACTCTGCCTAGGAATCTGGGAGCTAAGCCAAAGCCATGGGAGGGCAGGTCGTGTCTGTGCCCCTGAATGCAAATCCTGAGGAGCCAAAGGCAGCAGGGGGGACCCAAGGAGCTGTTTCACTAATACCTTAGATGTAGGGTCCCAGACAGGGCCCTGGAGACCCTGATGGAAAATGTCCCCCAGAGGAGAGAGAGACACCTTGCCTTTTCCTTACTTCCTTCTCGGATCCCAGGTTTTCTCATTTGCACATTAAAACCACATTAGTCAGTCTTCTACAATCTTCCAAAGTTCTCTGCTTTGACATCCCTGGGAGAAAGACATCTCTGCTGTATCCACCCCTACACACCACATGCTGTGGCAGCTCAGAGGCGCTCCCTTCACAGTGGACCTAAGTAGCTGGAAAAGGCATTCCAGGCCCTAAGTATTCCAGGGATTTGTTGAAAACAAAGAGTGGATGGGCGTGGGAGGAGCACTGTGGATCTGCCCAGAGGTTGCTCTGGGAGGTCACTCAAATCCAACAGGAAACCCAGAGGTCTGCCAAACCGGATTTCTGGAAGGAAGGGGTGGGGGAAAGTGGCAAAAGTCTCTCTCCAGCAACCAGCGGTGCCTGGGACTGCCCCCGTTTAGGTCCTCGGGTCAGAGCCCTGCTTCACTCGGTTGCATTCAATCCGACAGAATACGCTCAGCCTCTCCCTGTGACTGCAAGGACCGTGACAGCAAGGACGGCATAAGCGCTGTTGACACTTGGTTGTGCAAAACCAGTGTCCCTCTGCCCGTGGGAGGGAGCCGCTGGCTAACAATGGGGGCGCTTTTTAATCTGACAAGTTGTTCAGATCCAGCCATTGACCTTATTGGCTGTGAGATTTCTGCCTAGTTACTTAGCTTCTCTGAGCCCCAGTGCTCCATCTGGGAGGATGATTATAGCTAGATAATAGAGTTGCCGTAAAGACTAAATAAAGATAAAATATATATCCTACCAAGCAGATCGCCAGGAACTTAATAAAATTTAACCACATGTAGGGATTATATACAAGTTTATAAAGGTCAAATTTTGGAAGTGGTTTATGGTTTCCATGTCGACGTTGTTGCCCTGGTGTAATCAATACATGTAGCATGAAGTTTGTCTCCCTTTTATGGAGTGCCGCATAAACCTCATCTTTCCAATTATGATCAATTTACGCAGGTGTCTGGCTGGATGTCTGCTTTTGGACACACTGAAGGCCACGTCTGCTGAGACATAGGGCCAGGGCCTGGAGCGAGCCCTCGTCAGCACTTCTGACCACACTTCCTGGGGGAGAAACACTTCTTTTAAGGGATCTGCTTGTTGCACAGCTACTGCAAGCGGGAAGTGTTTGCTGTCTGTCTATGGTGGCTCAGAGGAGGGGCTGAAGTTACAGTGGCCCCAGTGGGAGAAGACAGGGAGCCCTATGCCTTAGTACCTGCTTGAAAAACATCTCTGTCTGCGGTAGTGTGGGGAGGGACAGGGAAGTATAAGATGTGCTCTCTGCCCTCTGGATGCGCTCA